CACACACACACACACACACACACACACACACACACACACACACACACACACACACACACACACACACACACACACACACACACACACACTTGTGTACATACATACATACATACATAGAGAAAGAACATATCGCTTTGATATGCCACAGGTGTCGTAGGGGAACTCACCGCCGTGGCACAAGTGATAGCGCGCTGGTTAATTAGGCAGGGCATCCAATATTGAATTGAGAGAGGCCTGAGTCCTGTAGTGGAATATATGTATATACATATATATATATATATATATATATATATATATATATATATATATATATATACATATATATGTATATATACACATATACATATACACATGTGTATATACTTATTTATGCACATATATACACACACACACACACACACACACACACACACACACACACACACACACATATATATATATATATATATATATATATATATATATATATATATACATATATATATATATTTATATATATATATATGTATATATATATATATATATATATATATATATATATACATATATATATATATATATATACATATATATATATATATATATATATATATATATATATATATATATATATATGTATATATATATATATATATATATATATATATATATATATATATATATATATATATATATTTACACATACGTATACACGTGTGTATATATATATGTATATATATATATATATATATATATATATATATATATATATATATATATATATTTACATATATATATATGTATATATATATATATATATATATATATATATATATATATATATATATATATATATATATATGTATATATATACACACACATATACATATACACATGTGTATATACATGTATATGCACATACATACATACATACATACATATATATATATATATATATATATATATATATATATATATATATATATATATATTTATATATATATATATATATATATATATATATATATATATATATATATATATATATATGTATATATATATATATATATATATTTATATATATATATATATATATATATATATATATATATATATATTTATATATATATATATATATATATATATATATATATATATATATATATATATATATATATGCACACATATGTATGTATGTATGTATACACATTATATATATGCGTGTGTGTGTATGTGTGTATATGCATTTACACACACATGATTAATGCAACAGCTATGGGAAAATTGGGATTTCAGTTCAAATATTTTTTGTCGATATCATTCCTGGTTTAACATTTAATCACAGAAAAGAAATAGTACTTTCGATAATGGTGATTGGTGAAAACTTGAATCGGTGATAATGATGATGAAAGAATAATTGCTACCAATAATACTACCATTAATTATGATAATAATGTAGTGATAATGATGATAAGGATGATGATTATAATGATAATAATGATGATGATGATAATGATAATTGTTATTATGATATTAATATTAATGATGATAATAATAATAGAATGACAATAACGAGGATGATGAGGATAATAATAGTAGTAATAATGCTAATAATAAAAACAAATTATAACAGTTATGATAATAATGGTCATAGTTATAAGTATAATACTAATAATAGTAATGATATGGATAAGAATGATGATTATAAAGATGATCATTATAGCAATGACAGTAATAATGATAATAATAATAGTAATGATAATAATAATGATAATAATGATAACAACAACATTAATAACAATACTACTACTACTGCTACTACTACTACTAATAATAATGATATCGAATATGATGATGATAGCAATAATGATGGTAATAGCGATGAGGATGACGATGGTAACAACAAAAAAAATATAATAATATTGATGATATGAATAATAATAATGATGATAATGATAATGAAAATGATAATGATATTAATGATAATAATAATAATGATAGTGATGATGATAATAATAATGATTTTAATGATAATAATAATGATATTAATGATAATAGTAATGATATTAATGATAATAACAATAGTCACAATATCAACGATGCTGATAATAACAACAATAATAACAACAACAATGACAATACCTATAACAACACACCAACAACAAAAACAATAAAAGAAAAACCGGTTTTGACACCTCCCCCTACCCTTTCTCTCTCTCTCCGCCCACGCCCACAGCCTGGCCGCCCTTGTATGTGATCACACCCACGTACAGACGCAACACGCAGATGGCTGACATGACCCGGATGTCACAGACTCTGATGCTTGTCCCGAATTTGCACTGGATCGTCGTGGAAGACGCGGAGGTGAGGCTTTAAAGCAGAGAGCGTGTGTTTATGTGATATACATAAGACAGCAATACCGAAAATGTGGCCTAAGCTTCGTATTCTTGATTTCATAAACTAGTAATAAACTATTTACAGTTTGGTTACAAAACAGGGTTGGGTGCTTCTGTGTTTGTTTTTGGTTATGGGTGTTTGTTTATGTGCCTGTTTTTTTGTTATGGGTGTGTTTTTGTTTGTTTTTGGTTGTGGGTGTGTGTTTGTTTGCTTGTTTTTGGTTATGGGTGTTTGTTTGGGTGTGTTTGTTTGTGTGCTTGATTTTGGTTATGGGTATGTCTTTGTTTGTGTTTGTTTTTGGTTGTTGATGTGTGATTATATTTATTTTTAGTTATGGGTGTTTGTTTGGGTGTGCTTGTTTGTGTACTTGATTTTGGTTATGAGTGTTTGTTTGTGTGATTGTTTTTGTTTGTGTTTGTCTTTGGTTATAGGTGTGTTCTGCTTGCGTGTGGGTTTTGGGTGTACTTGTTTGTGTTTGTTTTGCATCTTGTTTGTTTTTGTTTTCGTTTATGGGTAATGTTCTTGCGTATGGGTTTTCGTGTGATCTTGTCTTTGTTTGTGTTTGTGTTTGTTTTGGGGTGTTTTGCGTATGGGATTACGCGTGCTTGTGTGCTTTGTATGTATGTGCTGTTTAATTGTGTTTGCGAATGTATTTGCTTATCTATGTTTACGTCTGTTTCCTTGCAAATGTGTTTATGAAAGAACGTTTTTTTAGTTTTCATAAAGATCAATAAAGCAAGAATTCACGAAAAAAAAAATATATATATGTACATATATATATATATATATATATATATATATATATATATATATATATATATATATATACCATATATATATATATATATACACACACACACACACATATTTATATATATATATGTGTGTGTGTGTGTGTGTGTGTGTGTGTGTGTGTGTGTGTGTGCGTGTGTGTACGTGTGTGTGTGTTAGCGCATATTTATATATATATATATATATATATATATATATATATATAATATATATACATATATATGTATATATATACATATATATGTATATATATATATATATATATATATATATATATATATATATGTATATATATATATATATATATATATATATATATATATATATATATATATATCTTTCCCTTCTCGATCACGTATCATCACCTCGTTTGACCTCTGCAGAAGACGAGCCAGGTGGTGCGGGACCTTCTGGACAGGACAGGCATGCCCTATACCCACTTGTGCGCCACGATGCCCGATGAGTATAAGGATCAGAAGAGCATGGGAAAAGGTGTCTTTAACAGGTAAATGAAGAGTCTATTCTTGCTATTTTTAGGTCTTTGTATGCTATAATATTCTAAAGCAAGTATTCGGTAAAAGTGTGTGGTTTTTATTTACGTAAAATATATGTTCATTCGAGAAAAAAGTGTTTTTTATCGGGTAAATATAATATCAATTCGCTCAAAATACTCTTATCAGTTATAAGTATTTGTTGATTATAATATTCTAAAGTAAGCATTCGGAGTGTGGTTCTGATTTTACTGAAAACATACATTCTAGGAAGTATGAACCTACTCGCAAGCAATAACCTATCTTATGAATCTCTGTAGAAAGAATTCCTTTAACAGACAATTTGTACAGTGGAAACAACTCCCTAACAACACTATCTTATGGATCGCTGTTTGTGAAAAGGGTGATCTTTTTCTAACGGGTGAATTGAAAGGTAACGACCGGTATTTGCCAACAGCACTCCCTCTTATGAGTCGCTGTTTCAAGTTCCTCGGTTCTTGGAAGGGCTAACTTTTTAGCAAAGACACACGAAAATGGTTATGTCGCCCCCCCCCATCCCATTTTGCATTTTTAAAATACATTGAGATGCCCTTGACTTTACATATTTTTTTTTCCTTTATGGTTATATGATATTATTTTATAGATTAAAACTGTCGATTCTCATTGCTTAAATCACAGCTCGCTATGGCAGTTTTTCTTTTACGCTGTATAATGATGATAATAATGAGGATGATAATAATAATGGCAATATTGATGATAATAATAATAATAATAATGACAATAATGACAATAATGATAATAATAATGATAGTAATGATAATAGTAATAATTATAATAATAACAACAACAACAATAATAATGATAATAATAATAATAATAATAATAATAATAATAATGATAATGATAATAATAATAATAATGATAATAAAATAATATAATATAATATAATATAATATAATAATAGTAATAATAACAATAATAATGATAATGATGATAACAATAATAATAATAATAATAATAATAATAATAACAATAATAATGATAAAATAATATAATATAATAATGATAATAGTAATAATAAAAAAAAATAATAATGATAATAACAATAGTAATAATGATAAAAATCATAATAATGATGATAATAAATAAAATAATGGTAATAATCACAAAAATGATAACAAAGAAAGATATCAATAACATCAACCACAATAACACTACCGAAAATAACACTGACACCACTCCTCCTACTAATCAAAACAACGAATAACATCAACAACAACAACAGCAACAACAACTTACACACAACCCGCCCTTCACCCACAGGAGGGAAGGGTTACGGTG